AAAAAAAAAAAAAAATCAAGTATTGGTTCTTTAAATATCATTTCCTGAGCCAGTTCATGTTGAACTGAAATTTCTGCTAGTCCAACTCTCTGTTTTTCCGTCATTGCCTATTAACATATCTTAGGTACCTTAAGCTTTGAGTAGCTACAGTCACAGCTTGATGCCATAATAGGAAGGCATAATTGTTGTCAAAAGTAACTGTAATATTAAGGGCACTACATAGGACGATTTTCCCTGGTCCCCACAACCCCATAGGGATAGCCCTGGGATGAGAAAGTGAGTATGTGAGAGAAACCTAATGAGGAGTACCCCATAGAATATAAATGAGAATGAATGAGATAAAATCAGGTGTTCTAAGATACTTCTACAGCTTTATTTTTTATGTTGGGCCTGACCTAAGAAAAATTAATGAAATGGGATCCTCTTGCCAATTCTGAAGCTAAGGGAGAAGCTCATATATGTGATTTGGCAAGAACATTGCTTTCATGGGTCAGCTTTTTTTTAAGGTACTACAGTTTTTTCTACCTTAATTCATCATTTCCAACATCACTGTTAAGAGTCTCATACTACATGCTTCAGACATTCAAGATGCACTTGGAATCTGTGCAAGAATTTAGTTATTTCTGTTAGTCAGTTGCATGTGTGATGTCATTTTTGGCTTTAAATGTCTCTGTTTTCCCTTTTCTAATAACAGTTTCATTCTTGAATCACATTTTTCAAGAACAGATATAATTAACATTTTTTCAGTTAAATTTAAACATGTAAAATACTCATAGTGAAATATTTACGATGTGCAGAATGTCTCTTTGCATTATCTTTCTCATTGTCACATGTCTTAAGAAAGAATTTTATATTAGTGTTATGCTATCAGAAATGCTGTTTCAATTAGACACAAGCATACAGAAATATTAAGAGAATAGATAAGGAGATCAAGATTCCGCTTTCTTATGACCCCTCACGCTACCTCCACAGTAAAAGTAACATTATATTTCTAGTTTTTGCTGCATGGTAATATTAAATGTTATTGCAAAAGGAAATGTACTCAACAAACACTGTATTGGCT